GTATGGTGGTGGTTCCATAAGATTATAACGGAGCTGAAGAATCCCTACCACCTATTATAGCTGTCGTAATGTTGAAGCACAATGCATCACTCTGAGCCTGTGTTGATGCTGGTGTAAACTCACTACTCTGCCAGGAGTATACCATACACATACAATTATGTACAGTACATAATACGTGATGATAATAACCCGTTATTGGCTTATGTACTTATACTTTTAATCATTTTACTTATTTATTTGAGTATATTTAGTTGATTTCAGAGAAGGAGGGAGAGATAGAAACATTAAGGATGAGAATCATTGATCGGTTGCCTTTTGCATGTGCCCCACTGGGGATCAAGCCAACAACCTGGGCATGTGCCCTTGACCGGAATCAAACCTGGGACCCTTTAGTCCACAGGCCGACACTCTATCCACTGAGCCAAACTAGCTAGAGCTAATCATTATTTTAACGTATACTCTATTTATTAAAGAAAAGTTTGCTGTAAAACACAACGCTGTTACCTGGCAGCAGCCTCATACCTCTTGTGTTTACCATGTACTTGGTTGTACCATTTTCTCTTGTGCTTGATTTACCCTCTCGTGGTTTGCACAGGAACATGCTGTATAGGCTTGTAGCCTAGGAGCAATGGGCTATCTCATATAGCCTAGGTGTGCAGTAGACTATACCATCTAGGTTTCTATAAGTGCACTCTGATGTTCATTTCACACAATGATGAAATTGCCTAATAATGCATTTCTCAGCCAGTATTCCTGTTAGGTGGCACATGACCGTGCAGGTTTGTTTGATTGCTAAGCCTGTGCTAGGTGAAAAAATATGCCCCAAGGCCCAGGGAACCATACTTCATGATGGTGTGAAAAGGCTCTTCCTTCACCCCTCCCTCAGGGTCTGACAGGCGGCTGATGATATCTGGAAGCAGGTTATAGATTGCATTGCCCTGTAAGAGAGAATCATGTTAAAGATATGAAGTGACCTACATGTTCCCTTGGCAGCAAACCCCAAGCTGCCTCCCTGCCTCTCACCTTGTGGGAAAGCTCATTGAAGAAGTTCTTGGCCAGGGCAGCGATCTGAGGCACAGGGTCAATGAGCAGCACAGCCATCTCGCTAACCTGTCCTTTCACCTTCACCATGTCCTTGAGGATCAGGTGGGTCATCACCAGCCCTGCTGTTTTCCGCACTTGCTGAGCTGGGTCCCGGAGACTAGGAATAAAACCTTGTCATTGGGACCAACACCATGGGCTACACCCCGACACTAATAGAAAAGCCCTCAACAGGAACTAGTACCCCTTCTTACTGATTCTAGAAGAAGTTAGAAAGCTGTCTAGAGCTGAAAGGTGGAATTGAGGAAAGAGGTCAAGCTTTAGCCAAGGCTTTAACAGTTAGTTTGTCAATCCCTTTGAGGTCATACGTAGCCAGGGCCTATACAGGTCAAGTACAAAGCAGATGTTCCAGGGTGATCCTAAAGGCTAGGGAAATACAGCTTCAGTGATTCTCATACTGACTTAACTAGACCCTCCCAGAGCTGGCAGGACTGCTCACACATTGTGAAGGATCTCTTACCGAGCATACAGATGAGGTGTCCAGGGGTCCACCAGGTTGGGGAAGCAGATGGCCAGATCCCCAGTAGCAATCATGATGTTAGACCGGAGAATGGGGAGCGAGGACTTTTCTAGCATGGTGAACAGAAGACGAAGCTGGGAGTCACAGAAAGTGGCACTAGGGGCAAGGAGATGATCATCAGGGAGCTCACGCCATCTCCATCCTCCTTGAGAAGGCGTACCAACACCAGGGTCTACCTGATCATGCAGAACTTGCCAAGGGTAAGCGACGCAGCTGCACAGAGCTCTGGATTGCTATAGAGGCCCGGGTTGTTGCAGACTTTAAGCAGAAGTGGAACAAAGGCAGCCAACATCTGTTCGCCTATTGGAAGAAAAATTCTAGGTTTGGGAGAGGTTATCTCAGTTGGGGAGAAGGTCACTCAGCAATTCTTCTTACCACCTAACAGTTCCATCTCACAGATATTGCGGATTAGTTCTGCCTCTGTGTCATCAGCAGTGGCCCCAACCAGTCCCATCTCCTCCTCCATGGTGGTCTCAGTGCTTGTATTCTAATGGGAAAGAAGCCAGAGATTATGGGTGATCAGAGACAAGTTTTTATTCCAGCCTAACCTTCATTTTGCACAAATATCTGGGAAAAGGTGAATTCTGCAAAACCATTCATAGAATTATCTGTAGAGGAAGGACTCCTGAATTTAAGAGGAAAAGAATTAGGTCCCCTATATATGTTTTTAAATTGCCAAAGCATATTCCTACATCTCTTAACTCATCCTCATAAAGTAACTGATTTCCTGTAAATGGCAAATAGATGGATCACGCAAGACAATGGTTCAAGGTCATAGAGAAGGTCAGACCTTACCCCACTGCTGCAAGGCTGTGTCTTATATGTTTGCAAGACATCACTGCCTCTAGTGGAGAAAATACAAGGTCCCCGTCAGGTGGCAGGCCCAATCACGAAAGCTGATGGGCATGTGAATGTTCTGACAAACACTGCCTCAAGCAGAGCCTCTACTTTATGCTGAGGATCTAAGTGCTCTGTATTTACACAGAACTTTCTCGGGTGATCATGGGCACATTGTTCCATCTTTGTTCTCACTCATCTCGCCGCAAGGAGGCAGTGTTGTCTTCATTTCATTTATTAGTAGGAAGAAACAGAGTTCCCAGAGAAAATGTGAATGACCTGAGGTCATGAAACAAGTCTGGGAAATGCTTGGAACATGAACCCAAATGCCCAGGCGCTCCTTCACCTTCTCCTTCGGCTCTTTAGTTTTATTCTCCCGTTCTTCCCGAAGAACTCGGCGACGACAAAGCTCTCCACTGACGGCCTGTTCCAAATGTACCAGCTGCTGCAGAGCCACATCCCCAGCCAGGGACAGCAGGTTCATCAGCAGGAAAGTGGGGAGCATGGGGGTCTCCTCTGCAGGGGAGGAAAGGCAGGGAGAAAAAGACATAATCAAGCCCTAACCGGTTTGGCTCAGTGGATAGAGCGTCAGCCTGCGGACTCAAGGGTCCCAGGTTCGAGTCCGGTCAAGGGCATGTACCTTGGTTGCGGGCACATCCCCAGTAGGGAGTGTGCAGGAGGCAGCTGATCGATGTTTCTCTCTCATCAATGTTTCTAACTCTCTATCCCTCTCCCTTCCTTCTCTGTATAAAAATCAATAAAATATATATAAAAAAAAGACATAATCAAGTCTCACAGGACGCTGCCTCCTGTTTTCACCGATCTTCTCCTTGCTCAGGTACTACACAAACTAGTGAAGCAAGAGGTGGGGCGAGGGAATAGTGGTGATGACTGGTCCAATTTGAGTGACAAAAAAGCGAGTGTGGGCTGAGGGGTCAGGAGTTGTTGTGGGAAGTGGTGGTGGCAGTGGCTTCTGGCCACTGGGCCCATCGACCCTCCTGCCCACTTACTCGGGTCACCCTGGGGGGTGCTCTTCTCCACGAGCTTCTCCAGGGCCTGCTTCGCACATCTCTGCAATATCTGGGCACAGATCACCTCGGGGCCCTCTGCCAGCTGGTAAATGAGGGTCACAGCCACCTCTTTGAAGGGGATCCAGAGTGGGTCTGGGTGGACAAAGCCTGCACAGGAGAGGAGAGAAGTTGCCGACCACAGACAAAGGACTCAGTTCTGCCCAAGGCCCTTCCTGATAGCTCACCTTTTGTGACCATCTCCTGTAGTCGCTCAAATAACCTATGTTCCTGCGGCAGCCGGAAGGGAGGGTGACGTTTGCCCAGGGAAGGCTGTTGGGAACAGAAAGACAGCATGTGAGTGTGTGGAGGTGGATAAAAGGACTTCCCCTCCCCCCCGACTCCTTAGTTTGGATGTAGCCACCCTACATACCTTTCTCCTGTCAGAGATGTTGGCAATGGCAAGGCACACCTGTTGGGCCAGCCTGTAGTCCTGTGGAAACTTCTCTTCCAGCCCAATGCTCACCAGTGTGTCTAAGTTGCTACCCACAATTTCTGGTTTTCCTCTAGGGGAAGAAACCATAGTTAAAACTAGTCATGGACAGGACTCTGTGTGGGACAAAGCCAGGGGTAGGTAGGTACCTATGCCCCACACAGGGCTTCCAGAGCCTTGCAACACTACAGAGGCTCTGACCCAGGCCGCCCCTTGGAATCCCTCTTTCTCTACCGATGCCACTACTTCTCCAGGCAGGGGGTGCTGGTACTTTCACTAACTTATTTTCCATGTAGGTAAGCAGTTCAAACAGGGCTCAGCGGGGCTTAACTACTATTACTGAAGGATAGGGTGTCTTCTCAGAACCTCCCTTTCCTCTCTCACCCGAATGCCCGTCTGGATTTGAGCCTTACCGTGACATCATTCCAAGAAGCATGACGGACGAACAGCGCTCCAGAGGGGAGCAGGGGACCTTCTCAGTTGCCCGCTCCCAAAGCAGCTGGGTCACTGCAGGTTTCAATTCATCCTTCTGCACAAACTCACAGAGCTGAAGAAAAAAAAAAAGGGCTGAGGCTAAAAGGTAACAATTGCCCTGGTCCTTGGTCCACTTCTCTGCAGAGAATATGGAGAACCTGAGGTGGGGAAAAGCAATACTCAGGAATGGAAATGGAAGGAGGAGGCTCAAAATGTAAAGTAGTTTGGGGAAGTACTTCCTGTTCTGCTACTTTTCTACTCTCATGTCATCAAAACTACGTTCATTAGGATGACATACTGAAGCTGACCTTGTTGAGCTCCATGTGCTCTATAGTTCTGACTACTTTCTAGCTGTTACTACAAACCCAACATGTCTAAAATGGAAGCCTTCCCTGCCTTTTCATTTTGCCAGTGATTGGTACCAATACTCTCTTAGTCCCATATGCTTAAAATTTCAGTTATCTAATTTTTAAAAATTTATTTTTTATTGACTTCAGAGAGGAAAGGAGAGGGAGAGAGATAGAAACATCAATGATGAGAGAGAATCACTGATCGGCTGCCTCCTGCACGCCTCCTACTGGGGATCGAGCCTGCAACCTGGGCATGGGCCCCTGACCGGAATTGAACCTGGGACCCTTCAGTCCGTAGGCTGATGCTCTATCCACTAAGCCAAACCAGCCAGGGCAGTTACCTAATTTTTTATTAATCAGTCACTTAGTCCTACCTATTCTTCAACATTTGTCTTCCAAAGTTCAATTCTATAGCTTTCCCTCACACTCCCAGGGCCTAGCCCTACCTTGTCACTGTACACCAAAACAGCCTCCAGGGACCTTCCTGTCCCTCGTCTCTGCTCCAACCAACTTGATTGCTTGTATGCTACTGTTGGACCAGTCTCCACTTCCTAATGCCACACCATGGCTGCCAATTAGAAGGCTCTCTCCTTTGCCTACTTTAGGGGCTTGGACCAAGAGCTAGAACATGGGCTCTCGGGCCAGTCGCCACCACCAGGTTCTTTTCCTCTTCCAGCAGGGAGACAAACGTGGCTGGCAGTAGTTAGTGCTCCTGCCAGTGGAAGCTGGTGGTCCGCACCACCTCCACCTTTTGTCCCCACAATCCAAATGCTTCAGGGCAGCTCTGTCTAAAATGCTGGGTTCCTGGCTAACAAGATTAAAGTCCTAGACTCTGGAAAGGCATCCAGGGACTTTCACAGTTTTGTTTCAACTCACATACCAGCTTTATCGTCTTTTCCAGATAACAATTTTGAGCCGGAACATAATCTTCCTCATTTTACAACATAGACTGTGCCCTTTCTTGGCTTTCTGTCTGGAAGGCTTCCCTTCTTTCTCTAATTCTCTAAATTCTACTTATCAAGACCCAACTTGAGTCCTACTGCCTTCAGGAGCTTTCCTTGCCCATTCCACCTCACACTGCTCTGTCCCACTCTGCATTCATCAGTGTAACATATAAGTTATGAGTGTGTTTTCTGGAGCTCTTCTGCCTGAGTTAAAATCTCAAACTTTGCCACTAATTAGCTATATATAGCCAAGTTATTTAATTTCTTTGTGTCTCAGATTTCTCATTGTAAAATATAGATAATAGAATTACCACTCAGGATTGCTGTGAGGATAAAACACGTTAATATGAGTAAAGTATTAATAATGCTTAGAATATACAGTGTTATTATATTACTACTAGAGGCCCAGTGCACGAAATCGTGCGTGAGTAGAGTCCCTAGGCTTAGCCTGCAATCAGGGCCATGTCCCCGTCCCTCTGTGACGCTCCCTGCTCCGAGATGATTGCCGCTGCAGCTCCACAAAGCTCTGTGATGCTCACTGCTGCTTGCTGCCCGCCGCAGCTCAACAGTCCCCACTCGTCGCCCCGCCCCCCCCAACCCCGCGGTTCACCATGCTGCAATTGGAGCCTGCGGGACTGGGGTGGTGGGGAGGGACTGAGAAGTGGTCAATGCACCTCATGGCGACTGGTCGAGCGGTCATTCTGGTCGTTCCTTTTATGGTCCCGACCTTTTATTATATAGGATTGCTACTATAACCATTGCCTCAGCTGCATTGTTTGACAAGTGGTTTATGTATTTTGCTACTAACTAGACTGTTGGTTCTTTTTAATTTGGAAACTTGGAAGCAAATAGTTTTATCCTTTGTGTGGCTGAATAAATTGCTGAACACACAGTAATCACTAATACTTGTTGAATGAATAAAGAGGAAGTGAGGAGACTTACAATTTCCTCAAGACATTGAATTGTCCCAACTGAGGCATCCACTAGCAGCAAAGAGAGATTCTGAATCAAAACCTGGGCCTTGGCTCTGTGGGAAGAACAAAGATTAGGGGTCATTGGAAGACTGATCATCGAACCCGTAAACAGGTGATTGGGGCTATTAGTTCCCCGACCCCCCGGGCCAATAGTGCTTAGGATGGGTTTCACTGAAAAGTCAGCCCCACTCTGAGCCCCACTCCGAGCCCACTCTATAGACCTACTGCTTACACATTCAGAACTCCTCTAGAAGGATGCCCCCCAATTCTCAGGAGACTAGAAATATTGAGAAGCTGACCTTAGAAAAGTCAGCAAAGGCAAAAGTACCCCATATACCTGGCAGAGTCCCCTTTGGGGTTGAGGTAAAGTTGGCGGTAGGCATTAAGCACAGCTTCCCGGATACCAGGCTCCTTAGACCAGATGAGAGGCAGCATGCGGCGTACCCCAAACAGGGCCTGAGGTACCCCAAATTGGAATGCCATCACAAAGAATTCAATCACCTCCTGTACCACTGAGAGAACACACGAATGTCACCCATGTGCTTGGCAAAACTGATGAGGAACATGTTAGAGCATGTTCAAGATGAGGAAATTCAACATCCTCCAAAATCAAGACAGAACTTTCTTGATGTAGTAACACACAAGGAGACCTTCCTCATTTTCCCTGAGACTGTTGTCTCCTATAATGCCTTATCATGAAATACTATATGCAGTAAAAAAGGTAAGCTCCATGGGGCTATACAAAGCAAACAAAAAAAGAATTCCTTATATATAGCAAACAACCAAAAAAAAAAAAAATTTTTTTTAAAAATTGATTTTGAGCCACACTGGCCAGGGCAAGAATTCCTTCCTTCCTTTTATTTGTTAATTTTAAATATGTTTTTATTAATTTTAGAGAGAGGGGAAGGGAGTGGGAGGGATAAAAACATAAACGATGAGAGACAATTTTCAATTAGCTGCCTCTTGCACACCCCGCAAAAGGGGATTGAGCCCACAACCCAGGCAATGTGCCCCAACCGGAATGAACTGTAACCTCCTGGTTCATGGGTCAACGCTCAATCACTGAGCCACACAGGCTGGGCAAGGGTTCCTTTCTTTTAAAGGAGCAGCTAGGTATCAATATATGGACAAGACTGATTTTTCCAACCTCAAGACCCATCCTTACAGAAAGGAACTTGGTATACCACACCTGTGGTTGTGTTTTCATACATCATCTTGCTGATGATGCCAATGGCCTCTGTAATCTTCAGAGAGAAGTTATAAGCATCCTGCAGATACTGCACCAGCATCTCTTGCTTCACCAGTTCATCCTTTCCCTTGGATTTCTCAAGCTCTGACACACTGGGATTGTCTTTATAGTCAGTCTGTCCTGGGCCCATGTTCTCTGCAGACGCCGGGGGACTCTTCTCCTGTGTGGAAGCTGATGCACCTAGGAGTTAGAGCATGTTCAAGATGAGGAAATTCAACATCTATAACATCCTGGATATTTCTTTTCACAAAAAAAGGTACAAGTTTAGAACCTATTCTAAAATATTAGTTCATTTCTCAAAAAAAGATTCCTGAAGTTCTCAGTGGTTTGGAAATACCCTTTCACAGCCTGTGACTATCAATCTTGACCCTTGGGTGCCTCCATTACAGAGCAGAAGCATTGCCAACTCCCCTTGGGCCTCCTTTAGCACCAGGTTCTGTTAGGTAGGCCCATGTCTGGCATAAAGTAAATGGTCCATGAACACTAGTTGAAATGTTCTGTTTGTTGACGGAAGAAAGGGAATTACCTTTAAAAATAGTTCCTAAGAGATTCAGAAATCTGGTCTCCTCCGACTCCTCTGGGTCCATATGATTGAAGGGTTCAGACTCCTGGAAGTGGCTTAGGGCTTCTCGAGTGAGAATGATGGCCTGCCTAAAAGAACATCAACTGTCACCAACTTAGCACCCATAAAAGCATCACTGCAGCCTTTTGAAAAAAAAAGTATAATTGACATACAAGAGTGTCACTGTAGACTTAAGGAAGCTACATGATAATCCCATCAAGCACCTAGACCTACTGTCCCAAGGAAAAGGAGCACTTCTCACACTTATGCACCTAAGAAGGGGTGGAGATCAAACACTTATTTCTGAAGTGATAAGGCTTAACTATAGTCTTCAAAACACTCAAATAAGGCCTTTAAATTTTAAAAATCACAAACATCTGTTTAAAAATTTTGCCAAGAGAAAATGTGGAAAAAATTAACTTTCAATACAATGGGATTATATGTAGCCACATTTTATTCATATTTAGCCCTTTCTGAACAGCCTAATTAAGAAGTAAATAACTAACCGTGGCCAAGGTTTAAGAATACCTGATGACATCTCTAAGGTCTGTTTTTGCAAAGCTGCTTCAAAGTTCTTGTGGTCTCTGCTGGAAGCAGCAGATGGATGTTTCCCTCTTGGTCAGGGCACATACTTATATTTATAGGTTTTCTCCTCAAAGAGGGACTTTTGTTATCTTTAATATAATGCTATTTATATTTAGTAATTTTAGTAGTTTCTCTTAAGCATTTGTAAAAGTCCAACAGTAGCCCTAGCCAGTTTGGCTCACTGCATAGAGTGTTAGCCTGCGGACCCAAGGGTCCCGGGTTTGATTCTGGTCAAGGGTACATAGCTCGGTTGCGGGCTCCTCCCTGGCCCAGGTCCTGAAGGGCCTGTGCAGGGGGCAACCAATGGATGCCTTTCTCTCACATTGGTATTTCTTCTGTTTTTCCCTCTCTCTTCCACTCTCTAAAAATCAGTGGAAAAATATCCTCGGTGAGGATTAAAAAAAAAAGTCGAAAAGCATGCTTAATTGTTGTCTATGCCTTTGGTATAAATCTGATGTTCAGACCATTACTACAGTGAAAACACGTAACATCACCTGGTGGCAGCATACTCTAAGTACAGTTCATTTTAAAGAAACATTGTTTCTCGAAGGTTAAACACTAAACCTAAACAGGCCATTAGAGAATATCTCATTCTTCACATACTTGTAACTAGCTTTGGCAAGTAACTGACGGATGCGTCCTTTCACCTCTTCTGTGGTCTCTGTAGTAGCAATTTTTTCAGGAATCTCTTCTTCTTCCTGGGGAGGTGTGAGCAGCTGTTGTAAGGTAGACTTCAACTCTGGCAGCATGGCTTCCCACTCCTCCTCGGGCTCCAGCACCGCAGCTGAGTAAGAAAGTCTCACTTAGACTCTTTCACTGGTGTTTCTGCCGCAGGGAGGACTGTCTGGGGTGGGATTCCTACTCACAAGCAACTGCAGTTTGCCTCTGGGCCCTCATCTCTTGTAATTTCTGGGTTTCCTTCTGCAGCGGTCCAGCAAGGTCAGTATCGCTAAGCTATCAAGGTAAAATGAGCATCAGGGTTACCAAGTCACAGAATTCCATCCCTTGTTTCCTTTAATCCTTCTCTTTTGGATGGCCCAACTCTACTTACCTTGCAGGAAAAGGGATTGTTGGTGAGAAAACTGGCCAGCAGCTGGATAGCGTTTTTACATACTAGCACCGACTTGTCTGCCAGACGGCCCACTGCCAAGGCCACCACTGCCTGGAATCGTGTCAGCGGGAGAGCCTACGTGGGATACAAAAAGAATCAGCTCACATCCCACATCATCCTTTCCGCTCAAGATGTTCTTGAAGTAACTTTAAATGAGCTACCTATTCATTCCTACTTATATCTGTGGGATATAAAATAATTAAGGAGTACTCTTTGTGGTGGTTAAGACACAGTACAGTCCTTAAATGGAGCCAGACATCCTTGCCCTTTGGTAGACAAAGACCTTTATTACTGGTAGTAACCACCTGAATTCTAGACTCTTGTTTGGGACAGATTTTTTTTTTTTTTGGGCACTGATTCCTCTTTTCTCTGGCCTATACACCGAGTGGTACCATGTATCTTTATTAGGTAGAAGGCTGTTCACCTTCTGCTGGACGATTCGGGTGAAGAGTTGCAAAACACGGCTTCGTACAAAGGAATTGACATCATGGCCATGGGCTTGCAGGGTGTCCAAGAACTGGTCTCTGGTGTCTCGGGCTGCTTCCTCCAGCTGATCACCATTCAGAACCTGCAGTATCATCTCTGCCATGGCTGCGAGCACAGCATTGCGCATCATGTAATTCTGAGAGAGAAATGAAGTTGGTATAAGCCTCTGCATCCACTACTTACTTTCCCTTTCCTAATTCTTAAGCCTGTCCAGACACTCAGAAGGGGCAAGGCCCTTTAGTCAAGGTTAAACTTGCTTGTCTTAGCTATAACTTTCCCTGGAAAAAGCTGAATCCCAGAGGAGCTTTGTTTGCTCAGAGAAGAATGTAGAGACAAAATAAACAAGAGCCAAAAACCATTTCCCCCCTAAGGTTCATCCAGGTAATCATGGTGGTAGCCGAATATGAAATTGAATCTATCCACCAATATATATTTGAAAAGCATTAATGACTACCTTTCGCCGAAACCGGTTTGGCTCAGTGGATAGAGCCTCAGCCTGCGGACTGAAAGGTCCCAGGTTTGATTCCGGTCAAGGGCATGTACCTGGGTTGCGGGCACATCCCCAGTAGGGAGTGTGCAGGAGGCAGCTGATCGATGTTTCTCTCTCATCAATGTTTCTAACTATCTCTCTCCCTTCCTCTCTGTAAAAAATCAATAAAATATATTATAAAAAAAAAAAAGACTACCTTTCACCACCTTTGATCTTTACTAATAAATACGCCCTTCCCTCCCACTCCCCTATTTTACTGACAGAAAAGGAAACACAGAGAAATAGAAATCAGTCCTATAGTGCCAGCAAGTCCATTACAGAATCTGGTAGAGAAGAGGGTTTAGGGTTATTTTCTAGGCCAAGAGCCAGAGAAGGGGGTCTTGCACAAGAAGTTAACAATAAATTAGATGGACAAGCTGGCCGTCTTTGTCCTTGATATTATTCACCTAGGAGTGCCCTGCATTAGTTTGGGAAATGGCCAGGTTGGCATTCAGGGACAAAAGAGAATTGAGCCAGGCTGGTATGGTTCATTGGTTGAATGTCGACCTATGAACCAGAAGGTCACGATTTGATGCCTAGTTTTAGGCTCAACCCCCTAGTACAGGAGGCAGACAATCAATGATTCTCTCTCGCCATTGATGTTTTTTCTCTCTCCCTCACCTTCCTCTCTGAAATCAATTAAAAAAAATATATACATACATATATATATATATATATATATATATATATATATATATATATATATATGTTTGTATATTTCTAAAAAGAGAGAATTGAGAGAGATGACATGGGTTGATTGGAGAAAGTTTACTGTATTGAGGAAGAAAGGCAAGCCAGATGGTAGGAAGAAGCTTCATCCTGAGAAAGAAACGGATGGGATTCAGAATCACAGCTGCCACTCTCTCTGAACTTAAGCTGTGGAACTGTCACCTCCCCTACCAGACCTGGAGAACACCAATGTGACACTGAAATAGGCTCTTTATTCAATAAACTTTATCTGCCTCTACAGGAAGGAAGTGCCACAGTGATAAGACCAGACAACTCGACTTCATGTGAAAGCTACCTCCTTGGTGAAAAAACATACATAAATCCCCAGGAAACCTGAGATCCCAGTGTACCACCTACCTCTCCATCCAGGTGATCTAGCAAAATGCACATGCTGGACATCAGGATGGCTGGGATACGTTCTGCTAGTTCTGTCAAGAAGGCTGCAAAGCCCTTTGCCCCTGTAGGGTCCCGACTCAGCTCCTGGGGACACTTCTGTCCAATCTCTCTACGCAGGAAAGAAAACAGCCATAGCAAGATAATTCAATTCCCAGTAAGAGGAGGTAAGACTGGTATCTAATAGCTGAAGGAATCTAGTATTACACAGAGAATATACTGTATTTCTCATCTTTCTTTATGTTTTCCCTGAGAGAAATGAGAATTAGAAACGTAGAAGCGAAGAGTTACCTTACAATCTCTCCCACTATGCTCTTCATTCCATAATCAGTGGCCCATAGACTCACAGCCGCCACCAGTACAGGTGCCAGGTGTTCAAAGTGCTGCAGCATCTGGATGATTTTCACTGTGGCACCTGTGGAAGTACTAAACATGAGGAATTATGGGCAAAATGAAAAGGGTAGGGGCACAGTGAAGGGCTAACTTACTGAGCATATGGTTGTAATGTGTCAAGGCGACACCAAGCAGGCGTGTTATGGCTTCCCGGGTAGAGCGGTTCTTCTGGTGACTAATGGTGGGGTTCTCCAGAAGGCGGTAACAGCAACCGGTAACCAAACTGAGAAAGGAACAAAGTGAGAGGACAAAATCTGGAGTCAATTATTTTGGGGTCTGCCTCATTCATTCTATTTCTACTGCCACCAAAGTCAAGGTCTTCTAGTTTTCTTCATTTATCTACCACCTTCCATACCAAGTTGCTTTGCTGACCTCAGATAGGTACTTGGTCCTTTGAGATTACCAACCTTAAACCAGTTAGGATGCCTGTACAGAACCTGAATACAGGGGTGCGCAAAAGTCCGGTTTACAGTTGTGAGTATGTGAAAGAGTTTATTCGTGTATTATTTACTATAGCACTATTTACCATACAAACAACTATACACCTACTTTGCCCACCCCTGTATATGATAAAAGATAGGACAAAATCACCAGTGACTTCTCATTGTTAAACATAAGTCAATTCAGTCCTCAGCTTAATCAACCTTTCAGCTCCATTTGACATAGTTGGTCTCTCCTTTCTCCAAAAGAAACATGCTTCATATGGCTTCCAGAATGCCAGAGTCTCCTCTCAGTTTCTTTGTCTGATCCCTCCTCATCACCCCACCTTCTTAATGCTGAAGTGTCCCAGGGTATAGTCTTTGGATTTCTGCTCTATTGTGGCTACTTACTGATTAATAATCTCATTCAGTCTTATGGCTATAAAAACATATATTCCCAAATGTGTACCTCTAGGCCACACCTCTCTCCTGTACTCCAGATTTGTACATTCCCCATCTGAATCTGACATTATTTGGATATCTAATAAGCACCTCAAACTTTGTATGTCTAAAACAAAACTTCTAATGGTCTCCCCCAAAACACACCCCCATAGCCTTCCCCATATTTCAGTTACAGACAATCCCATTCTTCCAAATGCTCTGATTTCATCATCCTCCCTCAAACCTCACACACATCTGTCACCTCATCTTGTAAGCTCTACCCTTAAGAAAATAAAGTATGAACTACAACCACTTCTCTTTATCTCCACTAACACTCTCTGGTCTAAATTATCATCATCTCTTGCCCAAGTTACTGCAATAGCCTCCTAACTGGTCTTCCACTTCTTTCCCTCCATAGTCTGTTTCAGCACAACAGCCAAGATGGCCCTGTTAAAGACCAAGAAAAGAACACCTGTTTCCCTGCTCGGAACCCTTGAGGGATCCCACCTCACTCTAAGAAATGCCAATTACCATGAAGACCTACAAGCACCTGCAGTTTGGCTCCCCCATGTCCGCCCTGACCTATAACCCATCCCTCTCTCTGGCCTCATTGCTAGTCCTTGTACACGCTGGACACGCTCCCTCCTCAGGGTCCTTGCCCTCTCATGGCTCTGATGACTTCCTCCGGGTCTTTGCTCAAATGTCACTGAGTCAAAGAGATCTTGCCAGAACGACTGAATTAAAATCACAACCTTCTTCTATTAAATGCCCCCCCCCCCATTTTTCTCCATAGTAATAAACCATAAAATATACTATATATTCTCATTTTAAAAATTGGCTTCTGCTCTATAAAATAAACTGAGGGCAAAAATTTTTGTTTCTGGTGCCTATAATGATACCAACTATGCACCTAGGAGATTCTCAGTAAATAATGTTTCATAAATGAATACATGGGTATTAAAGATGAGAAATTAGAAAAAAAAGATGAGAAATTCACAGCAGTTTCTAACATTCATTATCTATTTCCTAATAACTTAATGTTTTGAGTATATTTCTAGTATATTACAGATACAACTGAGGCATGAAATGAAGTATTTACAAGGTAGGTCCAGCAAAAGAGCCCTGATCCACATAGCTCAGTATCATCTGTAGTCGTTTTAACTGCCTACCTGACAAATTCCTCTTCAATTATTGAGTGGTTCCATAGGTGACGAATGTCCAACTGGAGCAGCTGTGTTAAAAGCTGAAGAATTGGTTGCCTCTCCTCTTCCCAGTCAAAGCCATGGGCTGACTTGGCCCTGGCTTTCTTGCCCTAAAAAAAAATCATGTATACATTTAGAAAAAGAATAAGGAAAAAAGTCAAGATCTGCTAGTCTGAGTGCCTAAGCTAACCAGTATTGAGACAAGATAGAAGGTAATACACAAGACACATAATAAGTTCCAAAATATAGAAAAGCTGATTGTCACAGAAGGGTATGTTGTGATACTTTTGAGCATAAACCCTAAATAAGAACAGAAAGGAGTTTCAGAATCATTGGATTCCCCTCTTTCCTATCAGTTCACCCATCCTTCCTATTAAATGAGCCAGGAACTCCAAGTTACCTTCCCACCAAGGTCCAGGTCCACGAGATTCGTCTGGGTGGTCATAGTCTCAAAGGATTCCAAGAGGCGTACCAGAGCATAGCAGTTCATTTTGAGGGCATTTAGGTGGGCACTTCTATCAGATACACTCAGAGTTGCATCATCGAGGATAGCTGGAAGTTCCTGAGCGTGGCGGGATACCACTGCGAGGGTCAGAATCGGAGTCAGTTTCATTCCCTTTCCTCATAGTATCCCAACCTCCAAACACCCTGCACTCGCAGCCATCAGATTACCAAAGATCTGTGTTTCATTTCTCAGTGGCCACAACACCAGCTAAGTCCTTTGGGACCCTTGACCCTGATACCATGAACATGCCTTGTCCTCCCTACTCACTCCAGTTACCACAATTTCTTCCTGGCAACTGGGAAGAAATATCTCCATGAAAGAGAGATAGTTCAAAAGCAGGAAGAATTTCTTGTTGGTCTGCCCTTACAGTGAACACACATAACTCTGTATTGCCCACCAAGATTACAGACCTAATAGGTCAAAGGTCCCTGGGCTTAGCCAAACCAACTGAATCACCAAAGCCTTGATATCATCATGTGGCTGATAAAATGTAGTAAACAAACAACAAACACCTTCTATCCCATTCTTGCTCCTCCATACACACCTTTTATCAGGAATTCCAGGGCATCTTCCTTGAGGCCAGGATCTATACTTCGAAAGTGACTATGAGGGAAAGAAAGTGCAAGGGTTGAGACAGGAACCTGCAGAGCCCATTCTAACAGATCAGATCTAACTTGAAGAACCTAATGGCTAAAAATACACTGAAATTGCTCAACTGAAAAATATGGTGGCAAGTTGGTGTAAATTCTCATCAGTAGAGATATCGGCACCCAGACAATTTTTTTTAAAAAATATATTTTATTGATTTTTCACAGAGAGGAAGGGAGAGAGATAGAGAGAGTTAGAAACATCGATGAGAGAGAAATATCGATCAGCTGCCTCTTGCACATCCCCCACTGGGGATGTGCCCGCAACCCAGGTACATGCCCTTGACCGGAATCGAACCCGGGACCTCTCAGTCCGCAGGCTGACGCTCTATCCACTGAGCCAAACCGGTTTCGGCCCCAGACAATTTTTTAAAAATATATTTTTATTGATTTCAGAGAGGAAGGGAGAGGAAAAGAGATAGAAACATCAATGATGAGAGAGAATCATTGATCGGTTGCCTCCTCCAAGCCCCACACTGGGGATCAAGCCCGTAACCCAGGCATGTGGCCTTGACCGGAATCGAACCTGAGACCTTTCAGTCCGCAGGCCGATGCTCTATCCACTGAGCCAAACCAGCTAGGATGCACCCAGAACAATTTATCAATGAACATAATTTAGAATTTCAGGACTAACATGCAAAGTTAGTTCAAACAGCCACCAGTTCTTTCTTTTTTTTTTAAACAAACACTATATATATATATATTTTTTTTTTTAATATATTTTATTGATTTTTTACAGAGAGGAAGGGAGAGGGATAGAGAACTAGAAATATCAATGAGAGAGAAACATCAGTCAGCTGCCTTCTGCACACCTCCCACTGGGGATGTGCCCGCAACAAAGGTACATGCCCTTGACCGGAATCGAACCTGGGACCTTTCAGTCTGCAGGATGCTCTACCCACTGAGCCAAACCAGTTAGGGCGCCACCAGTTCTTTTTAAAACACCAGTGGGTACTTTACTTACTGTAGAATGCTGTAGACAGTATCAAAGTGCTCCAGCATGGCCAGGGGCCCCTGAGCTCGGAAGGCAGCCTGAAAAGCTATAAAGATGAAAGAATCTGATCAATACAGAGGGGAGAGGCACTTTTGGTTCATTCTATTCATGGCAGAAAATTGAGTTAATTGCTTTTATTGGCAGAATCACAAAATAGTTCATTTCAATGTAACCTATTATAATATCTTACATTTTGTCCTGTTTTATAAGTAAAGCCTTACTTGAGTTTCATCATATTTCTGAGCTAGACAAAGCAGACAGTATTACGTATTTAATGGGAAAAGAAATGGTCAAAAAGTAGTTATGTGACCTGTCCAGCTTACAGTAGTTAGTAGTGAACTAATTTTAATTTTGAAATTATAAAAACGGCAAAACCAGCCGAAACCGGTTTGGCTCAATGGATCGAGCGTCGGCCTGCGGACTGAAAGGTCCCAGGTTCGATTCCGGTCAAGGGCATGTACCTGGGTTGCGGGCACCTCCCCAGTAGGAGATGTGCAGGAGGCAGCTGATCGATGTTTCTCTCTCATCGATGTTTCTAACTCTCTATCTCTCTCCCTTCCTCTCTCTGAAAAATCAATAAAATATATTTAAAAAAAAAACAAAAAAAACGGCAAAACCAGTACAGAGTTCCTGTACTTCCCCCCCCAGATAATGGTCACATAGTATAGAGATCTATTCTAAAGCAGGACATTAACATTAATTAATTCAAAGCTATTAATTAATCTACAAATCTTATTTAAATTTTGCCAGTTGTAGCTATGCCCCTTTCTGGTTCAGGATCCTATCTAGCACACCACAGTGCATTCAGCTGTTGTCTCCTCTAATCTTTCTTTCATGATCTTGACACTTTTGAAGTGTACTAGCCAGTTATTCTGTAGAATGTCCCTCAGTTTGGGTTTGTCTGATATTGTCTCATGATTAGAGTGAGGTTAGATTAATTTGCATTTTTAATAAATTACCATGGAAGGGAGGTTGGGTCCTTCAGATGCATCTTACAAACAAGTATGTGATGTCAATGTCTTAGTATTGGTGATGTTAACTTTGATTACTTAGTGTTTGTCAGGTGTCTCCACTGTAAAGTTACTATTTTACCCTTTGCAAATAATAAGTATCTTGTGGGGAGATACTTAGAAACTATGCAAATATCCTGTTTCTTATCATATTCACCCACTAATCTAAGCATCTATTAATAGTTCTTGCCTGCCACAATTATTATTGTGGTATTTTCTAAATGGTGACTTTTCTATCTCCATCATTCCTTTTTCACTTACTAATGGGAATGCCACTATGAGGATGAGCTGTGCCTTTCCCCTCATTTATTTATTTATATCAGAGTGGATTCATGGATATTTCTTTTATTCTGTGTCTTAATCCATTCCTATTACTATTTATTTTGTTGCTCAAATCATCCCAAACTTGATTATTGGTAGCTCCTTCAACTTGGCCTGTGTCCTGACATGCCTCCTGCACTTGTACTCTTGTACTTTTTTGTACCACATGATGTTCCAGCTCATCTTATACTTTCACTGACCCTGTTCTGGCATCAACATTCTCAACAGAATTCTGGTTTCTTTTATGAGAGTATGGTATGTAGGCACTAGTTAGGCTTACTGCTATTGGAGTATCATTGCTCTTAGACCCTCAGTAGAGAAAAGCAGGATATATACATATGTATGTACACACACACACTTATATCTATTTTACCTCTGTCTATATTAAACACGTGAGTTCATTTATGTATTAGCTTAGTTAACCTAGTAAACACATAAAGCAGTTTTAGAATTACTAACCCACACCTTATAAAAAATAAATTTACTGCCCCGGCTGGTGTTCTCAGTGGTTAGACACTGGCCCAAACACTGAAGGGTGGCAGGTTCGATTCCCAGTCAAGGGCATGTACCTGGGTTGCAGGCTGGATCCCTGGCCCTGGTTGGGGCAAGTTTGGGAGGCAACCAATCGATGTTCTCCCTCACACTGATCTTTCCCTCTCTCTAAAAATCAATGGAAAAAATACCCTCAGGGAAGGATTAACAAAAACAAGCAAACAAAAAACCCACCAAAACAACACAAGCAAACAAACACACCACCATGCTGGCTATTTTCACTTTAAACTTATGATTTACTAGAGGCCTGGTGCATGAATTCGTGCACAGGTGGGGTCCGTCCATCCAGTTGGCCCACCGGGATCTGGCTGATCAGCCGGGGGGAGGGGCCCCGGGCGGTTGGCGGGCCTGCCCTGCCCCCTGGTTGAAGGGACAATTTGCATATTAGCCTTTTATTATATAGGATTATTTCTTAAGCCTTTTACAAATCCCTAAGGTTACTCACTTTCTTCTAGGCAATGTTTCACTTTCCTCTGCTTATGACATCAAGACCTCCTTTCTTAACTCACCCTCAGTTAAAGGCATCACTTCCCATCTCACGGAGAAAACAGAATTGGGACAGAAGAGAACTTCTAGCTGCCCCAAGCTCTGTATTCACTGCACTACCTGCATCTGTGCTCATAGGCTGCCTTCCTTCTCTTTTGCTACTGCACACTCTAATGAAACCATTTCCCACCTATGTACCAGATCACATACTCTTACCTACTAAAAGATATTGTTCCAATAATTGTTTCCTCTCCCTTCTGCATCATTAGCTTTTCCCTCTCTGATCATTTCCATTCAGCACAGACACATGTAATGCTGCCCATCTTACCAAAAATATCCCCCATTGACTCTACCTCCCCTTTTAGCTACCATCCCATTTCTCTGATATCCCTTAAAGCAAAACAAAAAGTTATCTAAACTTACCACCATCTCTAATCTCTCTCCTCCCACCATTTCTCTGAAACAGCTTTTATCACGGTTGCCAGCAACTGCCAAATCGCTAAATCCAGTAATCTCAATTTGCAGTTGATCTCCTTTCCTTTTTGAAATGTTCTCTTAATGTAGCTCCCACTTAGCGCCTTAATTCACTTTCTGCTTCAATAATTGGTCCTTAGTTTCTTCTACAGGTTCTTTCTCATCTCTCCAGCCTTTAAATATATTTTTATTGATTTCAGAGAGGAAGGGAGAGGGAGATAAAAACATCAATGATGATAGAGAATGATTGGCTGCCTTCTGCACACTTCCTACTAGGGATCAAGCTTGCAACCTGGGTATGTGCCCTCACAGGGAACTGAACTGTGATCTACTGGTTCATAGGTCAATGCTCAATTACTGAGCCATGACGGCCGGGTTCTGCAGCCTTTAAATGTTGGACTTGTCTCTGGTCTTATGACTTCAAATGGTTTTTCTTCTCCATCTACTTTCACTCCAATCTCATGACTTTAAATGCCCTCTACATGCTGAAAATTAAATCTCAAATATCTTTAGCTGGAACCTCTCCCCTGAATTCCAGTCTAAATCTGCTCACATCCTGGCCTCAATAAATGACAACTCCATTCTTCTAGTTGTTCAAGTCAAAAGCCTTGCAATCCCTTCTTTTTTTCTAGCCCTATAAATCCAATCTGATCCAACAATAATCCTATTGGCTCTACTTTCAAAATATACTCAGGCCCTGATCAGGTAGCTCAGTTGGTTAGAGTGTCATCCTGATATGCCAAAGTTTTGGGTTCGATCCCGTTAGGGCACATATAAGAACCAATCAATGAATGCATAAATGAGTGGAACAACAAGTCAGTGTTTCTCTCCCTTTCTCTCTATCTCTAAAATCAATTAAAAAACACACACACAAAATATTCAGAATCTAACCCTTTATGATCCCCTCCACTGCTATCATCCCAGGCAAGCTACCTGTTATTACTGTAATAGCCTATTACTCTCCCTGCTTCTTCCCTTGCCCTTTACAGAGAGTCTCTGTTCAACAGAGTAATCCTTTTAATTTTTGTTTTGTTAATCCTCACCCAAGGATATTTTTCCATTGATTTTTAGAGAGTGGAAGGGAGCAGGAGAGAAACATCGATGTGAGAGAGACACATCAATTGGTTGCCTCCCACAAGCTCACTAACCAGAGCAGGTGCAACAGAGTTAAGTGCCCTTGACTGGAAATGGAATCCTTGACTCTTTAGTCCTCAGGCTGACACACTATGCACTGGCTTTTCTGTCTGCTTGGAATGCCCTGCCTTGAGATCTGCATAGATGACTCCCTCATTTAAAAAAAAAAAATATTTTATTGCTTTATTACAGAGAGGAATGGAGAGGGATAGAGAGTTAGAAAGATTGATGAGAGAGAAACATCGATGAATCAGCTGCCTCCTGCACACCCCCTACTGGGGATGTGTCCGCAACCAAGGTACATGCCCTTGACCGGAATTGAACCTCGGACCCTTTAGTCTGCGGGCCAACGCTCTATCCACTGAGCCAAACCAGTTAGGGCACACTCCCTCACTTTTAAGGTCTCTGCTCAAATGTCACCTATCAGCAGGCTTTCTCCGATCATCCAACAAAAAATGCCAGTCCCTGCCAATGGCACACCTTATCTTTTTTATCTTGCTTTACTTTTCTTGTTGGCACTTACAACCACCCGACATACTCCATATTTGCTGATTACTTGTTGAGAGCCTTGAGAAAACTGTCATCTTGTCTGTTTTGTTTACTATTGTGTTGCCTAGAACAGTGCCTGGCACATAGCATGTCCTTAGTATATACCTGTTGAACAAATCAAATGATCTGATTTTGGATATTTATAAAACTTATATTGAGAATTTTAAACACCAAAAGCAATACAAGTGTTATTTAAAGACTCTTAAAGAGAGTGGCCATCCATTTAAAAACAATAATGCATTATAATAACTGAAGAACAGTTTGCTATAGTGTGCAACATGTGCAATTGGTGATACATATATCTACGCAATAAGGACAGAACAGTCTGTGACACTATTGATTGGCTGCCCATCAGTCAGTCGACCTCCACACTCCACCTTATTCCTTGTTTACCAAATGCGATATGTTCAGGTTTAGGGAGACTAAACCTAGGTAATAATCTTGATTAATTTAGCCAATTTTGGTATCCATTTCTCTTACTAGTAAGTAGTTAGGGAAATAGCACATGATCCAATTATGGCTAAATCTGTTGGGAAGTTTCTGGTAAAAATTTTTAAAGAGAAAGAAAAAGCACAAAATGGAAAATTCCCTTTTCTATTTCTGGTCGTTCGAAGAAGGTGCTGCTGCCCTGACCGGTTTGGCTCAGTGGATAGAGCGTCGGCCTGCGGATTGAGGGGTCCCAGGTTCGATTCTGGTCAAGAGCATGTACCTTGGTTGGGGACACATCCCCAGTAGGAGGTGTGCAGGAGGCAGCTGATCGATGTTTCTCCTCTCATCGATGTTTCTAACTCTCTATCCCTCTCCCTTCCTCTCTGTAAAAAATCAATAAAATATATTAAAAAAAGAAAAAGAAAAAAGAAGAAGGAGCTACCATCTGGCAACTAAGATGGGATGGCTAAGAGGAGATAAGCTGGAGTTTATCAGATTATCAAGACACTGCATTAACTGACCCTCCTGTTGAAGAAGATAGTAAGTGAAGTAGGTTATTATTTTTATCTTTACACATGGGGAAAACTGATGCATGGAGAGACCAAGTAACTTGTCCAAGGTCAGAGTGGTACAGCCAGGATTCAAATTCAGGCAACTTGGCTCCAGAGTCTTAACCTCTACTTTGTGAACCTCTCCAAAGCAATCTAACTGATGCACAACCACTTCCAGTGACACTACGGGTCTTGCTTGATAATACATAAATTGTTCTCGGTCATCTATAGGTTTCCATGGGTAACTGCATTGCACATATATTGTAGTGTTGCAGCTGTACATACATATTATGTTTTTTTCCATTATTGCACACTCTTGGAAACAAGAGTTCTAAACTCTAAAAAAAGTTTTACTTGAAACACGTCAGATAAAGTCCCAGACACTCCGAGAAAGCTATCTTCTCCTGTAACCCTTAAATCTACTTATTTCAGCATATGTAAAGAGGTAAAGACCTGAAATAATCCCCCACCCACCCACCCATATACACTAATGTTTATTGAATAACTGAGATAAGGTGGTCAATGAGTGCATTCTTCCTGTAATGCATCCCATGCAATGCTGAGGAGGAAATATTAGGGAAAATGAAAGAGTTTCCTTGCCCTTATGGAGCTTAGTGGTATAGTGGAACAGACAGACAATTTGATTACACGTGGGATGGTTGTTTTGAAGTGCTAGGCACAGTGCCAGCTATGGAGTCTTACCTTTAAGCTGTGAGGGAAGATTTCTGACGGACAGTACCTCTTGCACAACATACTGATTCACCCCTCCACTTTTCAACAATTCCTCTGGGGTTAAGGGCAGATGGAACTCACACAGTTGGGGAGACATCCTTTTCCCACTGGCTCACAGGGCTGGAAACCAAACAGAAAATATCTAAGGCTTATTTTTTCTTCTAGTTCTCCTCTCCCTCCCAATATAGAGTGATTTTTAGTCTTACATCATGCAGGTAACATCTTAGAGGATATGAGATCAACCCAGGAGTAGAATCTCATTTCACTCATGACTCTGCCACTTGGTCACGTCATGGACCTCATCTGTACAATGGGGTTACTAGTTTCTGGTCACTGTACATAGGTGCTCTGAGTCAAGGGGTATTAAAGTGTGTAAAGAACTGTAAAGCGGCCTATCAATCCCCTGTGTTTGCATTATTATTTGTTTTTATGGACAAAGCTTATTAAGTAGAATGTCTCGCCTGAGACCAGAACAATGGCCTGGCATGTGGGTTTCCTGGCTCTAGAATGGGAGAGCATTAATATTTATTACATGTTTACTGTATGCCAGGTCCTATTAGGCTATATGAATAGATCATATCTGATTTAATTCTTCAGATCCCACTCTCATGGAGTACATAACACAGTCCAATTAACAGATGATGAAAATGAGGCTAAGAAAGCTTAAGCCTGAAGGCAAGAGACTCAGGCAAATTCTGCCGCAGACCTATCAGCCTGTTTCTACCACATCGTACCCCCAGGATATGCCCACTAGACCTCCCTGCCTCTCGCAGGCCGCCTAACACCGCGTCCTATTACCCGTGCCCCCGGTACCCTATTTTCCCAGTCTTTCCATCATCCGCTCTCCATTACCACCACACCTTACCCGAGAACCTCACCGGTCGTTCCTGGGACTCGGGTAGTGGAGCTGAAATGGAGAAAACCGGGCGTGCAAAAATGGAGAAGCCAATCCCCAGCAGGCGGAGGCAAAAACCTGCCTCTGAGCCAGGCGACGCGCGGGCAAAGCCACGAATGTGGAGTTCAAATCCCAACGGCCGCACGGGGACCAATCGCGACGCTCGCTGCAGAGGCCGACCAATCACAGCGCAGGATCCGGAAAGCCGGGCCGCACCGCCTAGAGAGGGGCGGGGCCTCGTTACAGAATCTGGACTCCAGCGCCCTAATCTTGCGGCTGCTGCCTTCCCTGCTTGGTCCTCTGCCCTCAGTCGCTGGGGAGGAGGCCCCGGCAGTGTCCGCCAGGGATGCCGCGTTCCTAGCTGGGCAGTGGTAGAGCCCCTGGAGTAGTGACCCACTCAGTCAAACCCAGGACTGGAGCCAAGTCCAGGCCGGGATTGAGAAGGTGTAGGATCTAGTCCGGGTCCCGCCATTTCCTCTGCTACGTGACGTCCAGCAAGTCACTTCACTCAGGAGCCCGATTTTCTCCCCTGTACAATAGGGGTAGTAAAAAAAAGCGACAGCGCAAAACTGCTGTGAGGCATAGAAAAAGGAAGCTCTGGGTTCCAGGGTCTGGACCATCTCCCTCGCAGCTGGGGGACGGCCAAGAAAACAAAAGAATGAATTTTTTTGAAATCCAGTTTTGGGACACACGACGGAGAGACTCCCTCACCTCTACTACCGCTCCAAGACTTCCGGCTCGCAGAACGGAAGCGCCTAGGCGGGGCAGGGTCTTGAGTGACAGACACCCGGGCCTCTGTGCGCCCGAACCCGGAAGGCGGGGCTTGTGGCTGGGGAAGGCGGGGCTTAGGAGCTTCGCTGCGCCCAGAGCTACCTGGGTAAGACCCAAGATGGGTTGCTTCGACCTAGTGCCCGACTTGATGGGCAGCACGAGCGG